CACAAAGTCTTTTCACTGATCTCTCTCAAATAGCTTTTTTGGCCAGAGGCATATAGCCATTTGGCCTATAGGCCAGCAGCAGGTGATTCAGGCCAGGTTTATTGAAAGGGACAGCAACCAGCCTGGGCAGGGCAAAGATGATGTCTGCACCCAGGGGGAGGGGAGTATGGGGCAGTTCAAGACTCCTTGTACATAGGGCATGGGTAAATTGGAAGCAGGCTTTGGTGGGTTAGGGTCATTTGGTGGAGGACAATTTCTTGGTGGAGGGGGCTAACTCAGTCCATTGGGTTCTTTGTTTGGGGAGGATGGGGGAAAGATTTATGTGGGGAATATTAGGTCCCCAAACAGTGTCTAAAATATTTTATTTGGAAAAATCCCCCCAAATGTTTTTTCAGCATATTGAATTTAGTAGTTACCAGCCCAGCAGTCACTTCAAGATATGATTATATGAACAGATTCCTTTATATCAGTCCCTTTAGGAATATAAATTTTTTCTACATATCATTTATATCTGTTTTACACACATATAAGTATATACACATACTCATGCATATATACATACTATATATCTAAATCAAGAACAAACGATACTAAGAGACAGCCTCTTAAAATGAAGGAAGGAGCATAGCTTAAAAACTTAATCCAAATACTGGAACATTGGTTTTCAACCATGACTGCTCATTATATAACCGGCGCAATGAACAAATTTCAATGACCCCTACATATTTGTTATAATCCTCTCCCTTAATTTACTACCTGACTTTTTGAGTTGCTTCCCAAAAATTGTGAATTTTCTGTAAGACAGAGGAGCTGGGATTCTAAAGACTCCTGGGCAGATGTCCCTGACACCAAGATTCACCTCCGCAACAACCTGCACCCAACACACAAAGCCTCTGGTTAGTTACATATCCACCACCCTGCCCCAAGACATGTAACCCTTCTTCTAAAAGCCCGTGATCTCTGTTAGTCAGGGAGCCAGATTTGAGACAGCTTCTCCCACTCTCTCAACAAGACATTTGTCTGTCATATTAAAAATTCCTTTCTTGGCTTAGTGCCTGTGGCTCAAGTGGCTAAGGCGCCAGCCATATACACCTAAGGTAGCGGGTTCGAATCCAGCCCGGACCCGCCCAACAACAATGGCTGCAACCAAACTGGCATTGTGGTGGGCGCCTGTGGTCCCAGCTATTTGGGAGGCTGAGGCAGGAGACTCGCTTGAGCCCAGGAGTTGGAGGTTGCTGTTACCTGTGATGCCACAGCACTCTACCTAGGGGGATAGCATGAGGCTGTGTCTCAAAAAAAAAAAAAAAATCCTTGGAAATCCTTGTTATCTCAGTAATTGGATCTTTGTCAAGCAACTGGACCTAGGCCTGAAACACACTTGTACTTTGAACAACAGTTAGACTCACCAAGCTCTTGAAAATTGCCAATGCCCAGACCCCACCTCTGGAAATTCTGATTTAAAAAGTATTTGGTGGAACCCAGGATGTAGTATTCTTTCTATGATCTTCCCAGTGATTCTATTATACTGCCAGGGATGAGACTTCATACTGGAAAGTGAGGTCTGGTGCTAAAAGAGAGGCCCTAAGAGAGTCACTAGGATGTTATTTTAGATATTTGCTATAATCCACAACTCCTAGTTATGATTTTAACTGCAATAAGAGGATGGAATATTCTCTACTAGCATTATTTATTACATTTAAAAAGTAAGTATATAGAACCCTCATTTTTGTGTAAATTAGTATAATTTCTTAGGAAAATTGGCCGTGTCCACTAACACTCAAAGTACACATATTCTATGACCTGGCAATTCCACTCCAGAGTATACACTACACAGAAATGAGCACTTTTGTCCACCCAGGATTTGTTCAAGAATGTGCATAGCAGCTTTATTCTTGTAAGTCAAAACTGGAAATAACACAAATATTCATCCATAATAAAACAGATAATTGTTAATAAGTTCATACAATAAAATATTACATAGCAGTGAAAAAACAAACTGTAGTTATATCAACAGAATGTTGAGTTAAAAAAGTGAGACATAAAAGAACATATATGATTCCATTCGTAAGAGTTGGCAGAATAACAGGGGTATTGGCTGGGAGTAGGCACGGGAATCCTTTTAGGGGACTAAAGGTGTTCATATCTTGATCTGGATGATGATTACACCATTATCTACTAAAAAATGATCAAGCGATGAACTTAAGGCAAATGTACTCTACTACCTGTGAATTATTACTCAATAAAAATTTTTAAATTACAAAATTAAAAGGTCAGTTGTAGCCAAGGCTTCTCTTTTGTGTTTTATCTGGAAGTTTACTCTTTTTTTTTTTTATTGAATCATAGCTGTGTACATTAATGTAATCATGGGGTACAATGTGCTAGTTTTACACACAATCTGAAATGCTTTCATTAAACTGTCAATATAGCCTTCACAGCATTTTCTTAGTTATTGTGTTAAGATATTTATATTCTATGCCTAGTAAATTTCACATGTACCCTTGTAAGATGCACCGTAGGTGTGGGCCCACCAACTACTCTCCCTCCACCCATCCTCCCCCCTCCTTCCCTCCACCCATCCTCCCCACTACCCTTCCCTCCCTCTCCCCTTTCCCCTTCTTCTTGGGCTATAATTGGGTTATAGCTTTCATGAGAAAGCTACAAACTGGTTTCCTAGTAAGACTGAGTACATTGGATACTTTTTCTTCCATTCATTATAAAATCCATATCCCAAACTTCCCACCAAACCTAATAGCAGGTAAAAGATACATTAATATTTTTTCTTAAATGACAGACCCTTGTTCACACACTGGTATTAATTGACAGAAGTGACCTTTCGTCATGAGATTGTTAAGACAGAATTCCCCAGAGCAGAATGGTGGGGGACTGTGGACATGATCTAATCATCTTGCTCATTGTCTTCTAAACATTTTCTTATAGTTTATACCTGACTAAGAAGAGCAAATTAAAACCATTAGCTTAAAGAAGAATGTGTGTTGAAGAAAAGTATCACATTTGCAGTTTTCAGTGGCCTAAAATTCTCTAAAATAAGAATCACTAGCACTACGGAGCAGATTTTCTAAATTTAAAAAACAGGGAAAAGAAAAAAATTATTGATAAATCAACACTAATTTAGCAGAAGAATTCTAACTCCCCTCGTATGCACTATGGCACTTTTGAATTATCAAAGTTTTTGTTTTCTTTTATGGATTTGGGGAGCCTAAAGGAATGGGTCTACATCCGTAACAAAATGTTTTATGACAAAGCAAAATTTTAAAAAATCAACCAATGCTTGTTATCTAGCATATACAAAACATTCTAAGGAGCATCAAAAAGTACAATGCGTGTTCCCTCATCTCCTTAACTCAGCAGTGATCAAATCCAAATTTCTGTCCTTACAGATGCTAGGGCATATCCAAAGCTTGCTTGGTCTGTTCATGGCACAGCCAAGGAAAAGCAGGTCCCAGGCTCCAGACCCCAGAAGTGGAAGCCAAAGGCTTTAGGTAATAGGGGGTCACTGACTGTACAAGCAGGGCACCCAGAGGTTTGGCACGGTGCTTTTAGAGGCTTAATCTAATAGTTAGAAGGCAAGTACAGCAGACAGGCCATCGGGTACTCAAGGCATGACCAGGTGAAATGAAAAAAAAGAGACCGAGAGATGAAGCAGGGCAGCACGGGGCAGAGTAATCAGGAGGCTCCCTGAATGACAGGGACCCTGATCAGGATGAGGCTGTCAAGGGGAACAGGAATCCCACAGAAGAGCTAATATTGAGAGAAAGTGTTATGCATACTTAACATACTGCCTAGCAGCCCAGCATACAGTAGGATTTTAATAAGTGTCTTCCAGGGAATGAGTTGTGTTTTCAATGTATTGAGACTGAGCTAAAGCCAGCAAATTATCTCAGAAAGGAAATATCCCAAGGCAGTCATAAAATGAGGCTGGAGTTTGGGAGAAAAGTCAGGTGGGGAAATAGTAGACACCTTTGCTATAGATATGATTCTGAACAAAGTCATGAAGATGAATCTTTTCTTATTTTGACATTCTATTTTGTGTTACATGTTTTTTTTATTTACTTTTTTTTTTGAGACAGAGTCTCAGTTTGTTACCCTCAGTAGAGTGCCATGGCATCATAGCTCACAGCAAACTCCTGGGCCTCAAACTCTTGGGCTCAAGCAATTCTCTTGCCTCAGTCTCCCAAGTAGCTAGGACTACAGGCGCCTACCACAACCCCGGGCTATTTTTATAGACAGGGGTCTTGCTCTGGCTCAGCTGGTCTCAAACCTGTGAACTCAAGCAATCTATCCACCTCGGCCTCTCAGAGTGCTAGGATTACAAGCAAGAGCCACCATGCCTGGCCCCCTCATGAAGATGAATCTTGAAGGACAGAGAGAGAGAGAAGAAGGGAGGGCAGAAGGAGGGGGAGGAGGAAGATGAGGAGAGAGGAAGGAGGAAAGCAGAGAGAGAAGAAAAGTCACAATCTCTGGAAATGCAAAGGGAGGAAGCAGAGGAACAAAGTAACCTGAGTAAGAAGGCCAGGGAGTCACGCCAAGAAGAGCCCTTCATCCTGGTCCACGCTTCTGATGGCCCCGTGGAGAAGACATGGCCAGTGCCATTGTCCTCACTTAAAAAGGAGAGGAGACATGGCTAGGGCTATTGTCCTCACTTAAAAAGGAGAGGAGACATGGCTAGGGCTATTGTCCTCACTTAAAAAGGAGAGGAGCCATGGCCAGTGTTATTGTCCTCACTTAAAAAGGAGAGGAGACATGGCCAGTGTTATTGTCCTCACTTAAAAAGGAGAGGAGACATGGCCAGTGTT